CCCCCCCTCCGTCCCGCACACCCTCTGCCGGTGCACTCACTGGGCACCCCGGGGCTGGCCCCTTGCCAGGTGCTGCTCCGTGGTGCAGAACCCCCGCCTCACGCACCCGTGTACCCTCCGGGGAGGGTGTGTGCAGGTGCCCATCTCCCCTGCGTGCCCGACCGTGTGCATTCACCTGCACAGGGCGTAGGCCCGTGCGTGCACACGGATGCTGTAGGTAGTACAGGACACAGCTGTCACCCTCTCCAACCCCTGCTGAAGCCACCTCCCGGCCCAGCACCATGTCTGGCCACGTGTTGAGTGTCGCAAAGGAGGGAGATTCTGCAGCCTCCCTGGGCACTCTGTGCTAGTGCTTGAACTTCACAGTACAAAAGTGCTTCCTGCTGTTCAAAAGGAACCTCCTGTGCTCCAGTTTGTGCCCATTGCACCACTGTCACTGAGCACCATTGGGAAGAGCCAGGCTCTGTGCTTTTTGCACCCACCCTACAGGATACATTAATAGGATCACCCCAAACTTCCTCTGCTGAGAGGACCCAGCTCTCACAGCCTCTGCTCATAGGACAGATGCTCCAGTCCTTTCACCACCATCATGGGCCTTTGCTGGAGTCACCCCAGCAAGTCCATGCCTTGCCTGGGAGAGCCCAGGCTAGAGAAGACACAGAAACGTGTCTTTCACCCACCCCCTGCACATGCAGCAGTTCGAGGGTCATGCGGCCAGCGGCATCCTGGACCATGAGTGCGTACCCCACCACTTTGCTCCCCAATGTGGGCCAGGGCTCTAGTGCCAGCCCCCATCCTTGACTGCCTCCAGGTAGGGTCTGGGGTCTGTCCCCTGAATCCCAGCACAGCTTGGAGATGGGGTCTTGTCTGCAGAGTTGCGAGATTGTCCTGTGGCCCAGTGGGGACCCAGCATGATGGGGTAGGTGTTAAGAAGGGTCCTTGGTCTCCCCTGGAGCACATCCAGGCCTGCTGCAGCTCCTGCCATACTGGCACTGTTGGGTTTTGGGAATGCTGAAGTGGGGGGGGGCCCAGCTCTGCCCCATTCTCTTGGCTGTGCGGTCTGACTCTGGTAGGTGTCCTATGGTGGAAGTTTCCACCCACAATTTCTGACCGGGGAGGTCAGGCTTAGGTTAATGGTGCATGGTCCTATCTGAGGAATCCTGGCAGGGCTGGCAGCTGGCCAGGCTGTTGGCTGAGTGCTGACCTTCACTGGTGCTCTTGAGAGTGCCTGTGCTGCAGGCTGAGGATGTTTTTCCCCTGGCTGTGCTGCCTGGCTCCAGTAGCCTTGGCCCTTCCATCCCGTCGCCCTCCCTCCCACCCACAGCCTTGTGTTCTGGTTTGGGGATCTCAACTTCCGCATCGAGAGCCTTGACATCCGCTTTGTGAAGTATGCTATCGACAGCAACATCCTGAGCCAGCTCTGGGAGAAGGACCAGGTGAGAGGGGTGTGCATGCTGTTTGAGCCTTAGTGGGGCTCTGAATGGCATTCGGCTCTTGCCAAAACTGCACATGCAGCTGTGGGACAGAGCTGTGTTCCCTTGCTGTCCTGACTCTGTGGGGAAAAGGCAGAACAGTCCCAGGATAGTCTGTATGGGAGCTGAGCACATGCTGCCTTTATCAGTGTGCTGGGAGAAGCTGGGCCGTTGGATCTATAGGCTTGCTGCTTGCATGGCACGGGCAAACCCCAAGAGCTCTGTGGAGCTGGCAGCAATGGGGCAGGGTTGACTGTGTGTTGGGGTTGAAGAGGTCTGGGGTGGGGGGCTTACAGAGGGGTCTGGCCATGGGGTCTGGTGTGCTCCCCAACCTGCTCTCTTTCCCACAGCTGAACATTGCCAAGAGCACCTGGTCTGTCCTCAGTGGCTTTCAGGAGGGACCCCTGAACTTTCCACCCACCTTCAAGTTTGATGTGGGCACCAACAAGTATGACAGCAGGTAGGAGAGCAGAGCTCAAGCGTGTGCTGGGCCTGGGAGCTGGTGGCATGGCCAAAGGATGCAAGAGTGGTGGGGCTCAGAGCCAGGGCAGTGGCTGGTGCCAGTGTGGATGAATGGGGAAGCCATGTTGGGGCATGTTCTGGGGATGGCAGTCTGGAACACCACTGTTGTTCTGGTGCCAGCACAGGTATTGCCCTGCAGCCACACTGAACTGTGTGCTGAGATGAACCACATTCCCTGCCTGTGGGTGCTGTAGTACTAGGGGGAGGCAGTTTGGGGTGGAGCCCACTGCCCCCTGCCAGGCAAGAGATGCCCCTCTGTGCCCTGCAGTGCCAAGAAGCGAAAACCTGCCTGGACTGACCGCATCCTCTGGAAGATCAAATCTCCCAGTGTCAGTCTTGGTGCGGGTGGGCGCCGGCCCAGCCGGGGTGTTGTGTCAGTGAGCCAGCTCTGCTACTGCAGCCACATGGAGTACACCATCAGTGACCACAAGCCGGTAGCTGCCATCTTTGCGGTGCAGGTGAGCACTGCCCATTGCCATGGGGCACACAGGCAGGAGCTACAGGGGTGAGAAGCCCTGCTAGTGTGTGGTGGGGTGTGTGGGTTGTGTGTGGTTTGTGTTTTTGGTTTGGTTTGGTTTTTTTTGGCTAAGCTTGACTGTTTTGCCACTGTGGCTGGGGGCTGCTGTTGGTGTATGCCTGAGGGCCCAGTCCTAAATGGGCGCCCTGGGCAGCGGGGGCAGTTCTCCTTGGCATGCCCTTGTTCACTGTGTATGTGTCTCTGCAGTTTGCTTCCAAGGCAGACAAGCCTCCAGTTGAGATTTATGTGGCTGATGAATGGAGCAGGCCTGAGCAAGCTGTTGTCAGGTACAAGATGGCTGCTGGCTTCCACCGGAGCTCCTGGGACTGGATAGGACTCTACCGGGTAGGGGCTTGGGGGCTGGAGGGGGTGGGAAGCACTGCACAGCACCGTGGGGTCCCTTCTGAGCTATCCTCTGCCAGTGGACACAGGTGCATGGCACGGACACGTGCTCTGTGTTCTCCTGTCCCATGGGAGCAGTAGGATTCGGCCCTGCTTCAGGAGGCTTAGATCCAGCAGTTTCCTCTTGCTTTGTAGGCCCCACAGGGTTCAAAGCCTGGCACTCCCCAGAGCTGGGGGCCAGGGCACCCACAGGGTGGGTGCAAGGTAGCTCTTGGTGCCCTTGTGCGAGAAGAGGGGGCTGAGTGAGAGGAGAGCAAAGGCCAGGTGTGGCTGATGGCAGTGAGCAGGGCTGATGTTCCCCCATTTACCTGTGTTCTCTCTTTCATGTACCTGCACATAGGTGGGTTTTCGGCATCCTAAAGACTATGTGTCCTATGTCTGGGCCAGGACCGATGATGGAGAGCGCTGTCTGGAGAAGCAAATGTGTGCACAGGTGAGCTGGAGCCAGCCCTGCTGTCTCATTGGGCATGTGCCCCTGATGGGGCAGGAGGGCAGTTCCTTATTGCTTTGTGCTGAGCCTTGGATAGGCCCACTGTGCTGGCATCAGGGATTTCTGCTCTCAGCTGGGGCTGGGGGGCACCTCTGTGCTCAGCCCTGGTGCCCATCAGCTGTCTCTGGGCTGCAGGTGATGTTCTCAGAGGAGGCGCTGCCCAAGGAGAAGGGCGAGTACATCCTTGGATACTACAGCAACACCTCCAGCAGCATCGCTGGCGTGACCGAGCCCTTCCAGGTCAGCATAGCCAAGGGTGAGGGTCTGAGGGAGGCAGGGTGTAGGGGTGTCCCACAGCCCTCTGTGTGGATCAGCCAGCAGTGCTGATGCTGGGGTGCAGATCTCCCTGCCCAGGTCGGAGGAGGGCAGCAGTCCCACGGACAGCTCAGGCAGCAGCTCAGAAGAGGAGGATGACAGCACACTTGTCCTACTGGCCCCCAAATCCCGTAGCCCCAGCCCAGGCAAGATGAAACGGCACCGAAGCCGAAGTCCCAGCCTGGCCAAGTTCCAGGGCCTCATCCTGCGGCCATCAAGCAGGGATAGGGGTACAAGCCGCAGCCCTTCACCCCAGAGCCGCCGAGGCCTCCCCGGGGACATTCCCACCATCCACCTGCCCCAGGAGGAGCTGGGGTGCCGTGCAGCCAAAGCCAAGGAGCCAGAGCGGGCAGCTGACAGCCTGGAGGGCAGCTCCTTCTACCAGACTGTGCGGGAGTGGGGTGGCCCCTGGCGTGTCTCTGCTGACAACCCCTTGGCCAGGGCTGACCCCAGGAACCTGGGCCTGCTGCCAGCGCTCCGCCTGGAGATGATTGACCAGGCTCTGGGCCGACGGAGGGAGAGTGCAGACCAGGGCTACCCCTGCCGGAGGATGAGTCCCACCAGCCCCCCAGGCTGCAGTACCTCCCCAAAGGAGGAGAGCAGCCCTCAGGAGCTGGACACCCATAACTGTGCCATGGGCGACTGATGCAGTGGCCCCCTTCCCTCTTCCCTGTAGCACCCTTGCTGTGCGCTTTCCTTTGCCACTTTCCTGCTGAGATGCCCCTCCCTTATTTATTGCAGTGACTCCTCACCCTGTTGTGTGCCTGGCAGGTAGGGGCCTCCCACTGCTCCCCGTAGCCTGAGATGCTGGGCTGGGAAGTGGCATGGTGGGGGGGCAAGGCTGATCTAGTGTGGTGGTGGGGAGCCCATTGTGAAACTCAAAGTGCAAAACCCTTCAGCCCTATGGGAGAAATGCTGGCCTTGCACCCAAGGTGGGGCAGGAAGCCAGGCCAAGGTTCTGGTGGCAATAGTGATGGGCATAAAGTGAAGACCCACTCCAGGGTACCCCTGAGATCAGATCAAAGCTTGCTCCTTCCCTGTTGCCTCCATTGTGCCTCAGCCTTGGATGTAGTGCAAATGACAAAATAAACCATCCTGGCCCACCCCAGCTGCACTGTGCTTACTGCAGGGGGGCAGGATCCCTGGGGTGGGGGCTGCAGGGTGAACAGGGGCAGCAGGCTCAGCGCTGGCATCACACACCATGCTCAGACCACCTTTTATTCATATTCTGCTGCACATGCAGCCCTGGCCCTCCCTGCCCCCTACCTTGCTCTAAGGCTGGGAGCCAGTGCAGACCCCAGCCCTCCCTGCACCCCTCCCATCCTGCCTGGGGAAGGGGGCCAGGATCATACCACAGGGCTCCCCTCCCCCCAGCCCCTAGCTGAAAAGGCACAAATCCAGGGCGGGGGGGAGGGTCTTGCGATCCCTTCCTGGCACAACAGGCAAGGAAGATCCTGGGTTTCTCCTTTCTCAAGCCCTCATGTTCCTTTCCCCTTGCTTTGGTGCTCATGGGTGGCAGCCATAGCCCTCCCCTGCAGCTGCAGTGCCTTGAGAGGCTTCTCTGTCCCTCTGCCTGCCCCTGCTCCAGCTGTGAACCCCAGCTCCATGCAGTCACATTAGCAGCCATGCTCGGTGCCATCCTTTGTCTCAAGTACCAGAAATCACACAGCTCCACTTTGTGGCTGCTGTACAGCATGTCTTCCTCCCCATGCAAGGCAGTGCTTCTTGGGCATCATTGGAGCACTGCATGGTGCTGAACTGCTGGCTTCTGCTCCAAGACCAGCCGCAGGCATCGCTCATAGAGGGTATTATCACTGTCCTGTGTCTTCCAGTCTGGAAGCTTGGCCTTGGAGGTTGCATGTGGAAGACCCCAGTGCCTCAGGGTCTTTTTGAGATGCCGTGCAGGTACTAGCAGAGCCCGGGTCACTGCATTACAGCTGCCAGAGAAGCACAGCTATGAACATCAGTGTAATGCTGCAGACTGACATCCATTGAATTCCACCCCAGCACTGCTCAGGACACAGCAGCACAGGTGATAATGCTTGCACTGCCAGCTTTATGCCAAGCCTGCAGGACAGCACCCAGCCCCACCAGGGAATCCCTCCTGCCCACCCACACAGGGTAGGAAGCCTGATGCAGGTCACATTCCCTTGACACTTACTTGTGCTGTGGCCCCTTGCCTGGGCTGCAGTCAGCGGGTGGCTCCAGAACAAAGCAGTCCGTGGTGATATGGTCAGCCAGGACAGCCACCTCCACGTCACTGAGGTTCCTTGCCCTGTGCAGGGACCGTGCCAGCCTGTGGGCACGAGAGGGCAGTAGTCAGCAGCTGCTGCCCAGGGTGGGCATCCCACTGGGGCCCACCTCATCTGACCCCAAACTGTCCACACACAGTGCTCTGGAATGGTGGGAAAAGCCCTGCCTTTTCCTCCAGACATGCACCTGTGAGTGCAGTTGCAGTGGAATAGCATCTGCGTGCCTGTGTTGTGCAGCTGGTACTTCACCTCATTGGGGGCAATGTGGTGCTCGCACTTATCCAGGTGCTTGTAGTACCTGCACACCCTGCGAGGGCCTGAAGACAGTGGGGTGGTGAGGGGCTCTGCCAGCACACAGCCCCACGGGGCTGAGGCCTTACGACACCCCAGCAGCAGCGCATGCTCTGCCCCCAGCACCGACTCACCATGCTGCCTGCGCATGTCCATGTCAGGCAGAGGGGTGTCTCCACAGCGTGCTGGGGCCAGTCTGGATCTGATGCTGCCATCCTGAGTGCAGGCAGGGTGTGCTGAGCCCCCAGCCCTGTGCTGTGTTCCTGCAGGCACTCGCTTTCCTCCAGCAAGGTCCTGTTCCAACACGGTCATTTCTGTTGGGGGGCCAGGCTCCAGCCCCCACTGTGCTGCTGGGTGCCTGGTTGCGGGCTCAGCCTTGTCTCTGGTAGATGCAGGTCTCTGTGCCTGGCGGAGCCTGGGGTTTTGCCCCAGTCTTTGTCGAAGCTGTTTGCGCCCTGTTCTAGAAGACTTCTTTCCTTTGCCTGGGGGCTGCACAGCAGAGCTGCCCACCTCCTGCATGGGTGGGCTGTAGTGGTACTGATTCTGCTGCACCATCCTGGCCAGGGGTACTACACCGTAACGCTCACACCTGAGGACACCATGGACCATGAGGCCCTGCACACCAGCCCCAGCTGTGCTCTGCTGCAGCCAGCAGGGTAGCCAGGCAGAGCGTGCCGGGGGCCACAGCAGCAGACTGAGATGAGAGGGCATCCTCGGGGCACTCACCCTCCCCACCAGTGCCACTGGATGCACTCCTCACTCTCCTCCAGTACGAAGCACGGCACCTCCAGCAGGTTGAAGAAGGTGACGCCGATGATGTTGGAGATGGTGTCGTTGAGAGCCAGCAGGCACTGCCGGAACCTGCGGGGCAGACGGGGGCGGTGAGAGGCCCGGCGGCCCCCGGTGTGCCCACCCGCCCTCGGCCTGGCCCCCGGCGCACCTAGCGTCGCAGTCGCAGTGAGAGACGGTGTGCAGGCGGTAGTTGCGGATACCGTAGTTGAACTGCAGCGCCGTGATCTGCGCCGAGCACTGGTCGTGCTCCCGGCAGCACCGGTCGGGGCCGCGGAAGAGACCTGCGGGCGGCGGCCGGTGAGCGCAGTCCCCGCCGGGAGCGTGGGGTGTGCGCGCCCG